CATATAAAGTTTATTTTTAAAAATACATATGAGCACATAATATTATATATCACATAATATTATATATATAATACTTAATAATGGTATTAATATAAAATGTAACAATTTCGTTTATTTCTGCTTTTATAAATTTACTATTTTTTAAAATATTTCCTGTATATTAATATGTAATTTTATATACTTATCGCTGCTGAAAATAGATGGTTCATGCCTGTTGGTGGTACTACTTCTCTAAGTTTACTGAATTCTTGGACACAGTAAGTATGAATTTTAATATAAAATTTAAATAGTTTTTTAAGTAATCAATCTATAAGTCAAAAGTAAAAGTAAAAGTATGAAATAATTTACAAAAAAATAAAATTTTTAAATAGTTTAGTACAATTTTGAATTTGAAACTATAAGCTATATATTTTTATAACATTTTCGCGTAATAAAGGTTAAAATTGTATATTTTCGTTTGACAAGAATTTCTTTTTGAAGCAAATGTCACAGACCCCATAAAGTATATATATTCTTGTTCAGTTTATTTAGCTATATGCGTCTTTTTTTTCAGTTCAATTTATTTCTCAATTTGAGTAATTTGGGAGTAGAACTTGCTCATTTGTCAGATTAACAGAAATCGAAGTACTATATCCTATAACTGCCATTTAAAATGAATGACAACAGATACGATTATTAATAAAAAAATTTTAAATAAATTCATATATATTTAAATTTATAGATATAGCTGCTAAATAAACTTCAGATTCAGACAATTGCTTTTACCAAAAAAAAATTTTTATTTTATGATGTATGTTATGTACCTCAAAGTTGGTACTTAAACATAATTTATACACAGCAACCAGTATCCTAAAAGTCAGCTTGATTAGTATATATTTAAATATAGCTCATAAATTTAGAAGCATGTTTGAAGGTTTCTTCAAGAAACCTTTCATCTTCAAATAATTTTTGTTAAGTAATCTGCAATAAATTTAATATAATAAAAACCTATATCATGTGGAGTTAACGATTATATGCAAATATTTAAAGTTGAACAAAGATATGACCAGATGCGACTTGTTAACTACGTCGACCAAGCGGTAGTTATCATTTCCAACAGGAAAGAGATGCATATAAATGTATATCTGTACATATGTGTGTATACTCGTATATATAAATTATACACGATCTCTATTTTACATATATTATATATCTCTATTTCTGTATCTTATATACCAACGTTTTTCTCAATTTATTCTAATCCACAAATTAACGTTTTTCTTTTGCAAGAGGCTTAAATAAATTATCCATAATTTAATAAAAAATCCATTCTCGACTCAATACAAGCTTTGAGATATCATATGTAGTATTATTTTATACCGAGAAAAAAGAATATATTAACAAAACACTTTTATAAATATCGGCTTACTATTTAGTAATCTAATATTATACCATCTGATAGTTAATACTTTATGAACTCTGTGAAGAAACCTAAACCATGGGTCTTGTATCCTTGTTCAAAAGATTCTGTTTTAGAACTTCATTCTATTCGTTTTCTGATGTTTTGATTATTAATTTCATTCACGTTATTCCGAAATAGAATTGGTTAATATATTATGGAAACGATGAAGAAACCTAATTTAGATATCTTATATATTATATATAGTTTTCAACAAAACAAAAAAGCATTTGCATCTGAAATTCGATAGCTACACCTGTATCTTCAAATCATACTATTAAATGTAAATCTTATTAAGCATCTAATTTATTATATGGAATAAGTTTATGAGTTTGTTAAATTCAGGTTAATATATAAATATTTTCTGCCTTGAACTTGTGTCTAGAAACAAAGAATTTTATTTACATACGTATTTGCATTTGAATAATTTATTGCAAAACATTTTTAAAAGATAGACTTAATAAGCTAAAAGGTGTGCAAATTTTGAGACAATATTAATATAATGTATGCAAAATAAGTCAGAAATTTTTAAACAAGTTCAATAAACTTCAGAGTTTTGTTTTTTAGCATATCTAAATAAATTTTCTAGATTTAACAAAAATCTACATTTACTTCTAAATGTATATATTTGTTACTTTTTAAATACTTTTTGCATGACGATATTTATGGCACCTTATAAGTTAATATGTGTTAAATTATTATATGATTATGATAGGTAAAAATGAATAACTTTATTTTTCTTATTATTTAAAGATTTTCTTTGTTTTGAGAAAAAAGACAAGTCAAGTCACAACGCTTCATGTAATTCATCATGGTTGCATGCCTATGTCGGTATGGTTTGGCGTTAAATTCACACCAGGTAAAATAACACTATTAACAAACACTATAATCCTTAATTGATTACACTATAATAATAATCTTTTAATTAAACGCTTAAGGTGGTCATAGTACATTCTTTGGTCTGCTTAATACATTTGTACACATTGTTATGTACACGTACTATATGTTCTCGGCCATGGGACCACAATATCAGAAATATTTGTGGTGGAAAAAGTATTTGACCACTTTCCAAATGGTAAGTATATAAAATAGATTTTAATTTATATATGCAATAAGAAATATAATTTAAATTTATTTTCCCTAGGTTCAATTTATTTTGATTATGGTACACGCCTTCCAATTGCTTTTTATCGATTGCAATTATCCAAAGGCTTTCGTCTGGTGGATCGGTATGCATGCAGTTATGTTCTTCTTCCTATTTAATGAATTCTATAAGGCAGCTTACAAGGGTCGTCGCACGGTATGTATCACGTAACACGTCATATGTATGCTGTCATCTTATGTTGTTTCTGTTTTTCATTGTTATACTTATCTGTTATTATATAAAATTAATTTTAACAATTTTTTTTAAAGTTATTCGTTATTAAAATAAAAATAATAATAATTAATTGAATTCTAACAAATTAGAGGAGTATATCTCTATGCTTAGTAGATTTTTACAAATTGTATTACAATTGCCATACGACAATTAAAGCCGGAACTTAAAAAATAGCATTTACTTCCATATTTGCTTACTTAAATGGCCACAAGAAGCCGTTACCGCAGAATGTCTTTCAAAGCGCCTCTACTGCATTCGTATCTTTGTAGACTCGTAATCTAACGCGGCTAGTGTTTCCTCAACTTGATCATTCCAAGGAGTAAACCTTTACACTTTCTTCCTCCAACTACCCCTCCGAGCGCCTTTTTCGATGGAGCGTAGGCTTTGTTTATCGAAAGAGAGCTCTACATCCTAATTACCTACTAAGCACCTATTGACAATGGTGATTCTTCGTCTGATTTTTAGGTTGACATCATTGTTGTTTGTTACGGCGTTGTCAAGATAGATGAAATCCGTGTGAGTTTTGAAAGTACAGTCACCAAATACCAGCTCGGCGTCCAAGCGACAAACATTTCTACCAATATCCGACATATACTTAGATTTGCCCTTATTCGCCGCTAAGCCCATTTTCGCATATTCCTTTTCGATAGCAACACAAAGGTAGCTATTTATCATTACAACATTTATTTACTAAATGTTAATTTAATTTTCAGATTTTATCTTATTCTATTGTTTTATCTTATTCTATTATTGTAATTTTTTTAAACTAAATACGGATTTTTAAGATAAGTATTTGTGTGAAAGGTACATTTATAAAAAAAAAGGGTCCATTTAGAAATCAGAACATTTTGTATGTCTGATTTAGTTACTTTAGTAATTAATGTCGAGAGGTTTTTGATTATAAAGGCATAATAATTGCTAATTCATACCTTATAGGATTGTTATCCATACGTCCATTCAGTTCTTACCTATGATTAATATAATTTCTTACGTAAAACCTACTGATGATTGATAAATTAAATATTTGTTTATCAGATTCTAATGAAATTCCCATTTCTATTTTGTATGACTGCAAACTAGAAAATTTCACATGTTTTTTTCACGACCTTACGTGATTCAGTATTCTTAAAATACCTTTTCTAGCAAACTCAACGTAGGTGAAATGTGCTTCATCATATAATGTTCACGTCAATTGAAAACTTGTATTTACTATTGCAATTTAAATGCTTAAAATATTACAAAAAAAAAAAAAATTTTGTTTGCATATTAATAATACCAATAGATTGCAAACAGCCTTCAAAAATGCTTCCAGCCATATTTTAACAACCACAAAACAACAAATTATCGCCAAAGCAAACAAATCGACACATTGCGTCAAGAAATCTTGTAATCTCAATTGAAAACAAAAGATACCAGATACCAAAATCGAAATCAAAAAAAAAAAATAAATTAAAGCTAAAATATTTAAGCCACGAAATTCCCACGTTGTGACAAGAAAAAATAAAACAAAAAGACATCACCAATAAAACAATGGGAACAACGTCAGTCACACTCTTAGTCAGTCACACTCTTTCATTGTTCAACCTTCTGTCACTCGTTGTTCATTTCGTCCCATCCGTCCATGATAATGAAAATAAGTTTATGAAATGAGTTTACCCACCTAACGACAGATAGCCACTAAAAAAAATTCTCAACCAAACCACAACAACAACAATGACAATAATACCATTGTTTATTGCATATTTAATTGCCAAAAAGTTGAGAGCATCTTATGTCATCGATATGAGCCATTTTTTATGCTGACTTGTTGATAAGCCCCACTCTTCAAACATAACAAATAAAGTAAATATATTAATGATTACCTGCCTGTCTGCCTACCGCACTGCTGTGCAACACCCAAAGCTACCAACAACAACACTGCAATAACCCAGAAAGCTCATGTAATTCGTTGGATTATTGCACACTTTTATTTCATTTTATTAAAAAATAATTTTTTTTCTTCTGTGAACCAAATTCATTAACGTGATTTCGCCATAGTCTCCCTGCCCGCGCAACATTCATGCGGTATTAAGGTAACTAGGTGAGTCTTCTCAAGCAATAAATGCTCGTGTGTGTGGTTATGTTCAACTAACATAAACACAGTTTTAACTTACCAATAGTACATTTGTCTGTCTATTCATTTGTTCGCCTGTCTATTAAAGCAGGACCGGCGCATGCGCGCAGCGCTCATTGTGTTAAGCGAGTGCATTAACACAAAAACAAATTAAATAAATAAAAAAATAAAATAGAAAACCAAAAAAAAGGTAATATAAGACAAGTGAAAGTTACTTCATACTTCATCTGTGGCTTTATTGAATATTACATCATTTCACTCGGAAAGCTATCAAATCAAATCTGCGCAGCATACTCTTCAGCAGCTTTCCTCATATCACTCAGTGATGTATACCGTTTTTTTTTATCAAATTAAAATTAATATAAAAAAACTCCACAAAACTTGCGCACACTTCTATTTGAGCACAAAGCGGCCTTTTATTAAGAGAAGCGGCTGCTTATTTAAGAGAAGCACATTTTGAGAGTTTCCAATTTATATTTAACTGTTTTTTTTGTGAAATATTTTTTTGCGAATCATCTTCAACAATTCCTCTAGCTTTTATCAGCGGAAATGACTAAAATATTTCAAATATTTTAGAAGTTAAGTAATTTATTTTTAATTAATTTAATTAAACTAATTAATTCATTAAAAAAAATGTACTACTATATTTCACTATTGCAGAGAAACAATCAAAACTTTAATAACTTTTCCAAAAATGATTTTATTTCAAATAATTTATTTATAATATTTTTAACCTGTCAAAGACCAATATATCTAACAAATGTCATTTTCAACCAGTAGGTATTGAACCTTTCTTTAAGATTGAAACAACAACCTTTCTAGCCGTAACTATTTTATTTAAGCCGCTAAATTTTATAAGCTCTCCATGCAGATGCAGTATCCTCTACGAAACTATTATTGTACTGCAACAAAATTCTTAATAAGCCCCCGCCTAATACCTCCCAGGTAGAATGATACTTTTCTCGTGCAGAAAGATCTGCTTTAACTTAATTGAGATCAGGATATGATCATATGCTAAACAGTTATTCTTCACGCATATATGTATCAATTCTAAATATGTGCTCCAACTACAATTTTACCCCCTACAATGTTACTGATCTGTTTTCCTACGCCAACAATTACACAAAGTAGAAGCTAATCGATCTTTGAACCCTCCCACAGAATTGACTAGGCTTCTCCGCCTTCATTCTGGTTGACTTTAAATTAAATCTCATTCATCCTCTAATCCAATCTCACTTTTAAAAGGTCCACTCCTCTTTGACTCCTCTTTCTTTTCAAGCAGCATATTTTGTCCGATCAACATATTTTGTGATTTACTATAATATCCATATAATATCCAATGTTACCATTTCTTTTATTTTTTTTATTTTATTAACAGCATAATATATTAAAATTTTATTTATAACCAAAAAATATTTAATTAATAATTGTATTTCTTTTTATGTAATAATTATTGCCTGGCTTAATATGCATCAATCAATAAATCAATATGTGCAACGTTGAAACTATTTTTATATAACAAACTATGCATACACAACAACAAATATTGATTATTCAATTATTCAATCAATTCTTCAATTCAATTGAATAATCCACAAATCAATGCTTTCATTACCAATCAAACGCATCCGCATTTTCCTGCTTCACATGTTTTTCCATACGTCACCTTTGTGTTGTTATTATGTCTTGCACCTGTGCTGTGGTGACGATCATCGTTCGTTTTATGCTTTTGTGTGTGTTATTACACGAAAAAATTAAAGGAATACAAGAACTTCTTCATGTTCCTCTTGCAGCGTCGTGAAAAAGGCTGTGATAGCGATAGCAAGCCAATTAAATCGAATGGTTATGGACCCCTGAATGGTATGTGCATGATTATTGATGATCAACAAGCACAGCAAACAAGCACAGCCAATGGTCATGCTAATGGACATGCAAATGGCAAAGTCAATGGCTTAAAGAATGGCTACAAACAGGCAAATGGCAACTCTACCAATATGAATGGTAGCGCATACAAAAATGGCAGCACGGTGGCGAATGGACACAACACAAGCAACGGCAGCTCTAAACTACGCGGCGAATTACCTGCAACACTAACGCAGCGAAAAATACAAAAATAATATTACGCCGCTGCTACAAAAAAATCTAGGAAATAAATTTATATAAAAAATTATGCTATAAATTTTTCTATTATAATTTTATATACAATTCAAAAGAAAAACAAAGTTTTTGTAAAAGTTCAAGCAAGCAGCAATCATTTACAACTCAGTCTGTATATGTTTGCCTAAGGACAGCAATCAGAAAAAATAAAAACAATAAAAAATTTGTATAGTTTTATTATTTAAAAGAACTTTTTTTTTGTTAATATTTCTTTTAACACAATTTATTCTTTATATAAAAAAAATTAAATTATTATTATTGTTTTTAAGCTGTCGCCACACTCTTTTGTATTTTTCTGTTCATCAATGTGTACAAAACTTAAATTTTATATTTAAAAAAATACAAGTAAATATAATTTATTTAAAAAAAAAATTATAAAATTATGAGAAACTTCTAGGTTAAAAAAATATATTTACATATATATGTAATAATTTTAGCAATTGTATAGAAAGAATTATATTTAAGTAAAAGCAATCCTAGTTACAGCCGCAAAGTTAGTCAAAGCTAAATAAATATTTAAATAATTTTACATAAAAAGAAAATTATAAAATGTTTAACTTAAACTCTAAAATAATTAAATTAGTTTTAATTATTACAAAAAAAATATGCATTGAAAACTTGTTATTATATAAGTAAATACACCGATTCACTCATAAAGATCATACAAAATTATATATGTAAAATATAAATACATTGCAAATTTAAATTAAAAGAAAGAAAAAAACATTTTTATTAAAAATATAAAATAAAATCGTAAGCATAATTTGTCTCCAGATTTTGCACGTAAGAATCCGTGTTGTATTATAAAAAATTCATGCATTGAAAATACAAATAAACCAAAAAATATACGCATTCAAAGAACATTTTCAAATACAAAGCAAAGCATTTTTTCATTAATTTATTAAAATTAAATATTGCAACAAATTATTATGAGAACGAATCAATATTAGATACAATTAAATTTAAAAGTAAAAGAACAATCCAAATATAAAATATTCATTATTGTATGTACTTTTAGGTAAAATCGGTATATATAATATAAACTAATTAATACAATTTAACAGTAAAGTAACTACTTTTAGTCATAAGTTCTAGGTATACAAATTTTGTATGCAGAGAAAGCCATTTTGGAACAGTTATCTTATAAATTTTATTATGTTTAAAATGATATACAAAACAAAAAAAAAAACAAAAAATTATAAGGGCGAAAATGTGGAGTGGAATGTTTTTTTTTCAATAAATAACAAAAACGAAATTGTAAATATAATTTTTTTTATTTATTTCTATACGTTACGAAGGTAAGAATTTTAAAAAATGGTAATAATGATAAAAGTTGTTGTTTTATTTAAAAATTGATTTTATTTAAAACGATTAATATTGTTGTTATTGAAAACGATTATTAATGTTTTTATTAAAAACGATTAATATTGTTTTTATTAAAAACGATTAGTTTTGTTTTTATTGAAAACGATTAATATTTTTTTTATAAAAATGATCAATATTATTGTTTAATTTTCTAGTATTAATATTGTTATTTGCATTAAAATGTAGGTCCTTTAAGAAAATGGAAAACAAATGTTTAACTGTTTTTAATCAAGAAAACTTAAATAGAAATAAATGAATTAAAAAATCTTTTATAATTCAAATTAAAGTAGGGACTAGAATTTAAATGAGCCTCGCCTCTTGTGGTCCGGATGCTACTATGACCTAAACATAGCGTAAAATAACGGGCCCCAAAATTGAAGCTGTTGTTATGTAAAGTACTTTTTAAATATTAATTGCCTGGCAACTCTGGCCTGTCATTATTCTATATTCCTTTTGTAATTATTATTCATTTTTAGTATAGTTAATAAAGCGAAGTAAAGAACATGTTAAAAATACATTGGACCGTGTTTCACTTTTGCTAAAAATATATAATAGGTTATGGGCCCAGCACGCTTCCACTGCGAAGTAAAAAGCACGTGCACATAAAAAGTAGATTTAATACGTGTATACAAATGTCGGGAACGGTGATTCGAGTTGAACCGCTTAACGCGGAAAACTACGATACATGGAAATTACAAATGAAAGCTATTCTCATAAAAAACGATTTATGGTCATATGTCGAAGGTACTGCGTCGTGTCCAACGGGCGAAGCGGCTGCAAAATGGATCAGCTTTGATCAGAAAGCGTGTGCTGATATAATGTTATCAGTAAGTGCATCAGAATTAAGATTAATTGCAGAATGCACAAATTCAAACGAAATGTGGATGAAACTACAAGCCACATATTCATCAAAAGGGCCTGCGCGCAAGGCGACGTTGCTGAAAAAGGTTGCACTTTCGCGCATGAAGGAGGGTGAAAAGGTTAGAGAGCACCTCAACGATTTTTTTGAAGCCGTGGTGAAATTAAAGGAAATCGACGTCACCATCGGGGATGAGCTTCTGGCCATACTGCTCCTATATAGCCTACCCGACTCTTTTAATACTTTCAGGTGCGCGTTAGAAACGCGCGACGAGCTGCCAAAGCCAGACATACTTCGAGTGAAAATATTAGAAGAAGCTGAATCGCAAAGGACAAAAGAAGACAGACATAGTGATGAAAACTCTCTATACATAAATCGAAATAAAAGCCGAAACGCAAAACAAAAACAAACGATACAGTGATTCTAAACGAAACAAACAATGTTTTAATTGTGGCAAAATCGGACATTTTGCACGTGAATGTAAAAATAAAGCAAAAGCTGAAAATAACACGCAATTGAAAAATTCGGAAAAATCTGTAAACAATAATTTTAGCTATCATGTTGAAGATGCATTTATTAGCTCAATAAAAGAAAATTATTGGTGCCTAGATAGTGGATGTACTGCCCATTTAAGTGCAAACCGTGAATATTTTACAGACTTTCAAAAATCGAATAAAGTGCTTAACTTAGCAAACGACAACACAACAAATATAAACGGCGTCGGTAAAATGAAAATAACTGTAGACGTATACGGTCGTGATAATAACATTGATCTTAAAGAAGTTCTATATGTCGAGGACTTGCGTACAAGTCTACTTTCTGTATCAAAAATAGTGGACAGCGGATATGAAGTGCATTTTCGCCCTTCAGATGCAATCGTATTGGACAAATATCAGAAGGTTATAACTCGAGCGAAAAGATGTGGAAATCTTTTTATTGTTGAAAATAAAAATCATTTTGCACAAGTTGCTGAAGAAAAATGTGACATTGAAAAGTGGCACCAGAAAATGGGCCACATAAATGAAAACGATCTTAAAAAATTGGCTAGTAATAACCTAGTACACGGATTAAAATTAAATCCTAAACAAAAACTTCCGACTTGCGAAATTTGTATTAGTGAAAAACAAACACAAAAATCATTTCCTAAGAGTAAAGAAACTAGAACAAGTGATTTATTAGAGATCGTGCATAGTGATGTGTGCGGACCAATGAGAACAGCATCAAATTCGGATGCAAAATATTTCGTAACATTTATTGATGACAAATCACGCTATTGTCATGTATATTTTATAAAACAAAAATCCGATGTATTAAATGTATTTAAGCAATACAAAAGAGCAGTAGAAACATTAACGGGTAAACGAATTAAGGCTTTACAATCAGACAATGGTAGAGAATACGTTAATTCTGAATTTAATTTATTCTTGAGGAAATTTGGTATACAAAGACGCTTAACTGCTCCATATACGCCGGAGCAAAATGGTATTGCTGAACGTAAAAACAGAACTCTAGTTGAAATGGCCCGTTGCATGATGAAACAAGCTGAAGTTCCGCCAAATTTTTGGGCAGAGGCCATAAATACAGCGTGCTATATTCGAAATAGGTGTCCTACAAAAGCATTGAACGGTGTAGTACCGCACAAGTTGTGGACTGGTAAAATGCCAACTATTGTACATTTTCAAGTATTTGGCTCTAAAGCATATGTCCTAAAAAAGGATAAGACTAGAGATAAATTCGATTCTAAGTCAGAACCTTACATGTTTGTTGGATATTCAAACGAAGCGAAAGCCTATCGGCTATGGTCACCTACAAAACGAAATATAACAATAAGTCGTGATGTCGTGTTTGTAAACAAAAATATCTATCATAATAAATACGAAAACATTTATATTAACAATGAAAACGACTGCCAAACAAATGATTATATCGATATTGCGTTCGAAAATTCTGAAAATCAGAAACCGTCGGTCAATCCGAAAATTGTAGAAAATACAGATACGCGAGAAGAAAACTCCATTCGTAGAAGAGGTCGTCCGAGACTTATTCGCACAAATTCACGCGGTAGGCCTCGAAAAGAATATTACACGTCAAATCGGAATGGTGAAGAATCATCCAACGAAGACGAAAATACAAGTTCAGTAAGAAAAATTACTGATAAAAACCATTCAGATGGTGAACCTGACAACAACGTTTTTGAAGATTGTGAAATGGCGTTTCTCACTACATATCAAACTCCAGTAACGATTTTGGAGGCACTTGAAAGCGATGAAACAAATTCCTGGTCAAAAGCGCTAGAAGACGAAATGGTGGCACAACTAAAGAATAAAACATGGGAAGTGGTCGAAAGACCGAAATCACGAAAAGTTATTGGGAATAGATTCGTGCTTCGAACTAAAGATGACGGAAAACAGAAAGTACGATTAGTAGCGAAGGGTTTTGCACAACGACCAGGTGAAGACTTTCATGATACGTTTTCTCCAGTCGCTCGTTCAACATCTATAAGACTACTTGCGGCACTGGCAGCAAAAATGGATTTGGAGATCCATCAGATGGATGTCATTACAGCATATCTAAATGGAGAGCTCGAAGAGAGTGTCTTCATGGAAATTCCCGATTATCTTATACCATTCCTGAACAAAGTTGTTTCATCAAAACCAGTGGGAAAAACTTCAACAATATTGTGTGGAAAAGTTAAAGAAACAGCGCAGCATTGGTTAAAGGCGATTAAATCAAGTAAGTCACCTGTATGTTTATTAAAGAAAGCTCTTTATGGACTCCGTCAGTCTGGGCTATCATGGTACATGAAATTGACAAAGAAACTACAGAATATGGGTCTAAGTGCAGTACAACAGGATCCTTGTGTATTCACTAAGCGAGAAGGCAACGACATTGTTTTGATGACAATATATGTAGATGATTTACTAATAGCGTCCAATAATAAGTTTCGTATAAAAGAAATAAAGGCTGCACTTGCGAATGATTTCGAAATGAAGGATTTGGGAATAGTAAGTAATTGTCTTGGCATCGAGTTTCATCAAAATTTAAGCAAGCATCAAGTTTTTCTTTCACAAGAGAAGTATGCAAAAAGCATCATTGAAAAGTTCAATATGAAAGACTGTAAACCAGTGAAGACTCCCATAGAATTGAACATTAAGTTAACGAAACCAACAAAAATTGATGAAGGTGTTATGAAGATGTATCCCTATCAAAGCTTGATAGGAGCATTAATGTACTTAGCTGTCACAACTCGACCTGATATTGCGTTTGCTGTAAACTTTCTTAGCCAGTTCAATTCAAATTATAACGTGGAACATTGGAAAGCAGCAAAACGAATTCTAAGATACCTTAAAGGTACAAGCAACTATGGTCTATTGTATGAGAAAAACAATGAAGAATTGTATGGTCTGGTTGACGCTGATTGGGGCGCTGACTTAAACGATAGACGTTCATATACAGGGTATGCGTTCATTATATCAGGAGCAGCGATATGTTGGGAAGCTCGAAAGCAACGTACAGTAGCGCTTTCAAGCACTGAATCAGAATATATGGCCATATCTGAGGCCACAAAAGAAGCGTTATATCTAAAGGCAATCCTTGATGATGTTGGCATTACAAGTAAGACAATTGAAATCTTTAATGATAATCAAAGCGCTCAAAAATTAACGGAAAGCTTCAGGTATCATCCACGGACAAAGCACATTGATATTCGTTATCACTTTATTCGCAGCAAGGTTAACGACGGCACTGTTAAAATCAAATATATGCCAACAGAAGAAATGCCCGCAGACGTCCTTACCAAAGGACTCACTACAGAAAAGCATGTTAATTGCTTACGGAAATTAGGAATGAAATATTAAAGTCATATTTTATACATAAATAAAAGCACTTTAAGAGGGGGTGTTGTTATGTAAAGTACTTTTTAAATATTAATTGCCTGGCAACTCTGGCCTGTCATTATTCTATATTCCTTTTGTAATTATTATTCATTTTTAGTATAGTTAATAAAGCGAAGTAAAGAACATGTTAAAAATACATCGGACCGTGTTTCACTTTTGCTAAAAATATATAATAGAAGCACATGGGCCAGAAATTGTTTTGAAACACCAGGATTAATGTTTAAATTAACTGCAATATACTGCAATATAATAATAATATTAAAAATATGTCTTTTCTTTTGTAAGCATATCACAAAAGAACAACTGCTTATTTTAAAAATAACATATGAAACAATAACACTGCTGGCTAAACTAATAAGCAGTTCAAATCGCATGGTTGCCAAGACTAAAAATTCATCTATTGTGAAAGATATTCGTATTTCGTGTTGTCATTGTTTGTAACAAAAACGTTAGTTTTTCTATTTATTATTTTACTATTAAAAGGCATGAAAATTCATATTTTATTTACAATCATGTAATAAAAAATATTCTTACTAATAATTACAAAGAATTATTATTCATTTTCGATATTTTAAATTTTATTACATATTTTACATATATAAGCCTAACAAAATTTCCATTTTGTCCAGAGTTGCCATCGCAAGTAATGCTTATATCATTTGTTCTTTTGCGACATGCTTACAAAAGAAAAGGCCTAATGATGAAATTGTTAAATCTAAAAATTTAATTTTAAATTTACGTATGAGGTGTTGTTGAATTTTTAATATTTGGGCCAGGAGTTCTTCACAAATACCAGCATAAAAATAAATTTATTGGGAGAAAATTTTTAAATTCAAAAATGTAGTTTTTAATAATTTTTTAATATTTGGACTAATCATCAGTCGATGTCTTCAGAAGCTATAATGCTCAATAATATCGTAATCTGTATTCAAGCTTGATATACAAATTTCATTGTCAAGCTCAATATAATCGTTAAGAGTAGCATCGGAAGTTATTTTATTTACTTTAAACCACGTTGCCAGCGACTGGCTTTTGAACAAAGAAGCAACATGAGAAAGAAAAAATTAAACACTTGGTTTGGAAAAAGCGACTTCCCTTAACAGCAAAATAGATTCATACTTAAAACAAAAATTCGATTTATAGAATGCACTTTCTCATATTCCTATTGGCACAGAATAAAATTTTAATTCGAGTTATAGAAGTTCGAGTTATGGAAGCAGAATTGTATGTAATTTGCTCTCTTGGTGCACTGTTTTTGGTTCCAGTTATGGAAGTTTGACTGTATATTAAATTTTTAAATGCAATTAGTTTAGACTAGATTAGAATAGATTAGCACTATAGTTTGATTCTTCAGATATTTAAAGTTGTAAATTAATGATAATTAATAACATATCCGAAGTATAGTCACCACATCTAACGCCAATTTTTTATATTGATCATATTTTTATACTGATTATACAAGACCAGATATCTTAAGACACAAATTTAATCTACATATAGCTAAATGCAAAAAGTCTTACAGAATAGATGATTTTACAAAAATCGATCACTAAATCCCAATATTAAGGAAATTGTAAATGTGTAATCGGATTCAATAGTTCAATTATACAGATTAAGAATATGGCAAGCAATAAATGAATGGTTATTATTTAGATCAATCGATATGTAAGACTTTTCCACATTATTGAGGAAGATCTAAGGGTCAATTATCCGGAATACAGGAGTGATTAGGTATGCATGCCTTAGATACATGCAATCGACAACAAATTGCTTTCACATTTTCCAGCACAACATAAGAGCACCGAGAAACCATTCGGTCTACAACAGTAACAATATCAACTATTGAAGTTTATATGAAGAGAATAAAATTATATTTTGTATACTATATATATTTATATTTATGTATACTATTATATATTATATACTTAATAATTGGCTCTATCTCAGTAATGTGATTCATTTATATAGTTGGTTTAAAGTTTGTTCATATATTCGCCATTGTAGAAGAAATCGCCACAGTAGAAGAAATTGCCTGGGAATCTGCTAGTACTTCTCTGCAGCCTAGAACTTGTATATGTGCAATTGAAGCGCTTGCACGCAATGTAAAGTTGTCATTATAGAACAGTTTACCGTGATTGTTGATGAGTCTACTAATTATTCCAGGAATAACAATGTAGACAGCAAATAGACTGTCTATTAATTGCAGCTGAAGCTCTTTCCAAGCTCTTTTTTTATATTTGTAATTTATTATATATATTTATGTTATATTTTATATATATATATATTTATATTATATTTCTTTTTATTTATATATTGCTGCTAACCGAGCATTCATGAAATAACTATTTTATTAATATTTTATGTATCCAATGAGATTTTTGAAAAAAATATAAACTATTTTCTGTCCCACCATTTCTTTTTCTAATTCTCACATATAACGTCCCCTATTAAATAATTTGCCAATTTAGTTTGAAATTAAAATACAGTTCACATATTTAACAAAACGATATTAAATATTTAAGAACATTAAATTTATTTTATACAATTATTAATTTATTAATAATTATTAATTATTCAGTACTATACGAGTAAACTCATAATATTTTAGAAAATCATTAGTTAACATAATTTTCTTCTCACTCTCATTTTATTTTAAATTTTTCTAACAATAAAGATTAAATTAAATCAAAACTGAAAGGATAGCGTTATATTGAACTTGTAAAAAATATTCAAATTAAAATAAAAAACCATAATCACAGCGTCAATGACCGCTAAATTCATTTTTACTTGCATTTCAAAATTTATGCAATCAAAACTAACTACTAAAGAATTAGGAATTATCGATAAAGTTTGACTATTATATTGATCACCATATCGATAGACTTATAATAATAATATATATAGCGCTCAGTACTTGTGCAGTATTATATATATACAATTTATATATAATATACGCACTTTAAATTAAATTCTTAATAGTCTTTTGTGTTAAAATGACTTGAGCTAAGATAACGAGTATAACATATTAAAAGCTTAGTAAAATTTAATTATCGTTGTTTTGTGGCTTCTTTAAATAAAATTCCAACATATTATCAAGATCAGTTATGTAAGATTTGGGTTTCCTTAAATCTGATTCCAGCACACGTAAATTGCATGTGTAATCTTGAATATTCTTTAAATTTGTACTTAATTCATTTGCAATCTTTTTTGCCCGGCAAGCTAAATCGTCTGTAACTTTCTTAGTTTGTTGTACTTTACTAACGGTTTTATATTCGATTAATTCACCGTAATCCAATATATCCCATACGCCAGTTTCCATATTCCATGAAAAAAGTATACGACACTCATATTTATGTCGATGATAAATGCAATCTAATTTTCTAGAGCAATTAAAACAGTTTGTGCTTGAACATGGAAGCTGGTCTGTTGCAGCGAATTGAGCCATTAGCACACAAATAATAGTATGACTTAGTGGACAAACCTAAATTCAAAATAAAAGTTTACATTAGTAATTATAAATGATAGTAAGTGAGTACATACGTTAATTATTTCATAGGCCCAGTCATAAAATACATCGTAGGTCTTTTGATTCTTTTGACAAAGTGTACTAATCACATAATATGAAAATGCTTCCAAGTCAAAGGAGTGTTGAGTAATGACCACACTAGCGCAACAAAGCTGCTGATAAGTGGTTTGAGATATCATCTGCATTTCGGAATAACAGGATCCGTGTACTTCTACTGGCAATGAAGTATGATAACCAGGAGAAATACAATCATCTAAATAGATAGTTTTTAATGATGCAAATATATAAAAAAAGCGGTATTTTACCTTCTTCACTTGTTATAACTGAAGCAGCATCGTCTTCCTCGACATAGCGTCTTTTAAATTTCTTAGTGCAAACTGGCTTTTCTGGCATAGAACTGCCTTGCAAAGGAATTTCCACAACGCGATATTCTTCGCGTCGTGGTGAAAGAAATGGTACGCTACTGTTTGGAGACATAGAGCCGCTCAGATCCATGTAATTGCGTTTCGTCATTGACACTTGCAATGGCGAAAGTGTACCTAATGGTTTGAAACTAAGCATTTGTTGCGTAGCTTGCGAAAGTGAGTGTGGTGGTGGTAAATGGCTGCTTGGTGAGCGCATAATACTACCACTTACCGGAGAACTACATGGAGGTGAACGAAAACCTTGTTGTAAAGATATTGGAGATGCTCTGTGCAAAGGAGGAGGAGTACAACGTCGTGTCTCGAAACTGGATGATGGTCTCGGCGATGATGATGGAGAGGCGCACGGAGAAGTATGAAAATGATAGTTAGTGGGTGAAGGACGGTGATATGAATTGCGACTATTACTGGTGCTTGACAAAGCACCACTTAAAGGTGCACTATAAGATTTACTTGCTGAACGCATTTTAGTAAATGGAATTATGTTTTCGGAATTGTCTTCAGAAAACTCATATTTCTTATCAGCCAAACGTCGTTTACGTAATATAGCAATTTTTTCACAAAACTCATTATCTTCAG